TATTTTTATTTTGATATATAACTTTAAAAATATTTTGTAAAGATAATAGTGAAAATGTATTTTTTAAGATATAAATAGTCAATATTAGTAAAATTTATAATAACTTTTAAAATAATAATTAAATATGTAAATTAAGAGATATATTATTAAAGTGTACCATGTTTAAATTTTTTAAGGAAAAATGATTATATGAAGGGAAGGTGGTGTAATATTTACATCTATAAGAATATATTAGTGTAAAGGATATTTTGGTGATAATTTTTTTCATAAAGAAACTAATGAAAAATTTATAAAAATAGATAAATTTTATATATTAAAATATGTCAAGAAAGAAGATTATAATTTTTAACATAAAAAAGAGCGTATTATAATATTTATATCTCTAAAAAAACAAATGTAATTTACTCTTAATGTTTTTAATATTAATGAGAATCAATCATAAAAATATTTGAACAAAATCAATTACATGGATGTTAATTATTTCTTAGTCTCCCTATCAAGGGTGTAGGTTTTTTCTTTTTTTTTGGTACATGAGTATAGGTTTGAACTGATTTATTTAAGAAAAAAGTGTTTTTTCATAACTTGGTAATAAAATTTAATAAAAAAAATACTTTTCTGATTAAAACGTGTACGTTGTGTTTTCATAAAGTCAAAATTCAATTTTGTCAGTTAGTTGAAGACTTGAAGTAAACTTTTATTTATAGTAGTAGTTGTAACGACCCACTAATCACTAGCCACGTGGCACTATGGCCAAATTGCATCCAAGTCAACCTATCATTAACGTTAGATTCATTTATTTATTCAATTTGGTTAATCATTACTTTCAGAGTAATAATTAACATAAATTATTTAATATTATTAGTGCATTTTTACTTTAATTGTAAATACATAAACATTTGTTAATTTTTAGTTATTATTTCAAGGTTAATGAGGGAACTGTTACATATAGCACTTTTTGATGTAGATGTTCATATAACATTATACATTTTTTTAAAGGTCATAATATTTTTTTTTTCCTGCAAAGGTCATAATATTATATATAAAAAAAAGTTATTATTATTGTATTATTCTTAAAAGCTAGATGAAATGTAAAAGATAAAAATATTTAACAGCAAAAATTAATAATAACACGCAAAGTTAATTCAGATAAAAAAAAAAAGTAAAACGCATATATTTAAATAAATATATTTAAAGTTGTTTGAACTACAATGAAACTAAAAAAATAAGATTCAAAAATTAAAAAATATCATGATTCATTTAAAAATAAATAAACTCCTCTTTAATAAACAAAAGTTATTCATCTTTTATATTTTAAAAACAACATCATCAGAATTTAAAAATAGCATGAGTAAACTTTATTACTGATTCATAAATGTATTTTAGTCCCACAACCTCCTTTTTTTTATTTTGATAATTTGTAGTTGAATTTTGTGAAAATTTTATCTGTTTCAAATTGCTTTTAATTAATAGATTAATGGTTAAAGAAAAGATATTAAATCTATTGAAAGAAAAAGAGAGAGTGAAATATGGGCCAGTGTCTCTTTGTTAAGCCCAAGCCAAATTTCATGCAGACCCAACAAATCTAGTTTCCAGGGCCTCACTCCCATATAAGCAAATAATTTATCTATCCACAGTCTACACTTCTGCTCTTTTTAATTTGAAACTAACTTGATATTTAAAATATCTCTCACTAATAGAATTTCCATTCAACCAATAAGAAGCTATATGCAACTAGGGATTTCATCGTAACCAACCAATATGACCCATCAAACCATTTGTATAGAATTAATTAAATTATATTAAAAATTTATTTTGTTTAGATTTAATTCAAATCAAATTAATTAAATTTAATATTAATTAGTTTAGACATCGGATTTATACACTTAAAATTTAAATTAATTTAAATAAAAATAATTAATTTATATTTTATATTTTTTATATTTTTATTTGATTAATAATTAATACGTATGTATTATTTTAATTATTTTGAAGACATTTTTATAATATGTAAATTTTTTCATACCTTTAGTTAAATAGTTAAAAAAATAAAAATAAAAAGAACTATATTACAATATATTGAATGTCATTTTTATACATTATATTTTATTTAAAATTCTTAAGTAAATTAAGAAAAGAAATTAAGAGAAACTATATTACAAATCTATTAATTTAATTATTTGATTTTAGTCCCTTAAAATTTATTTATTTTTAATCTTCTAAATTATATAATATTTATTTTTAATTTTTTTAATACTGTTAATTTTTTTTGTTAAAATAGGTCAATTCAATATCAAAATCATCATTAATTTTATGGACATGAAATTTTTTTAATTTAAAATCTAAATTATTTTTGGGTTAGGTTAAGTATTAAAATAAAAACTAATTTTACACTTAAATTTTTTTTTTATTACTCTCAAATGCAGGTATGGTAGTTATAGTAATTTCTTTTTTACTTGAACAAAGAGTTTTCCACTAAACTTTAATTAAATTTTCTCATAAATTCAAAGTAAATATTTTTTTCTCCACCGTCATCATCGTGTCCATAAATGTTCAATTTCATGCCTTCATCGACAACTATCTAAATGCCAAATTTTCAATTTTCAACAACACCCTTTCACCCTCATCTACTCTCGAAGCCTTTAACGTACAAATTACTCTAAACAACATTCATTTTTCTCATTTCCTAAGTTTCAAGGTATTGCCTTTCAGAAACAAAAATTCCTTAGTTTCCTCTATTGAGAGTGAAAGCAAAATACAGAAACAAAATTCAAAATAGAACATTTTTAGAACCTTCACACCTAGATATGATAGTGAATAATAAAAAGTTTTGAGTATAAAATTAATTTTTATCCTAAAAATTAACTTAATACTAAAATTATTAATATTTTAAATTAAAAAGTTTTAGATAAGTAAAAATAATGATAATTTGAGTACTGAGGTAACTTATTTTAACAACAAAAGTTAATAATGTTTAAAAAGAGATTAAAAGTAAATATCATGTAAATTTAGATGACTAAAATTAAGAAAAAAAATTGAGAGACTAAAACCAAATAAAACTAATTTTTGGAGAATTAAAAATATATTTAATTCTATAAAAAAAATCAGATTGCACTATTTTGTTAGTTTAATAGTTTTTTATATACAAGAAAAATTCAGACAAATAAAGGACCACTTAAAAAGCTAATACATTAATTGCAATTATTTAGCATTTTTATTATTTTATTTATATATTGACATATAATATGGTTTTCTATGTTAATACATTACTAAACTTAATTTCTTTAATTTTATGTTCATTTATTATTCTCCTTGTTTTAAAATAATCGTCAAGGATTAAGGAAAATAATAATTATCCCAAAATCTAAAATAAATAATCATGAGACTAATTAATTACCTCTCTTTGAGAATATATATTCTTAATACTTCATCACTGAGAAAACTAATAATCTAATTTTAAAACTATAAAAACAAAATGTTTAAGAATACGTTTAATTATGATCAATTCAACTATATCCTAATTTTAAAGGATGTGTTTGTATTCATGTAATTGAGAAGCGTCAAACAACCCAATCAATCTACTCATCTCGATTGATATGAACCTGTACTAGAATGTGCATGATCTACAATCCAAACACACACTAAGTGCATGTTTGGTTAAGTGATTGGATCAAATGGATGGGAGCAATCCCACTTAACTTCATCATTTTTTACTTCTAAATGTAGTTTAGTTAATATTTTGTACACAACCAAACACACGGTTAAACATTGTAACCCTTCAAAGTCAAGATATGTAACAGGTCCATGAGAAATTAAATCCCAATAGGTGACATAGAGAAATTTGATTTGATATTCATATAGTTCTGGTTGAACATGATAGGAACTCGACAGTAAGCATAAATTGAAACCACTCTTATTAAATACGAAAACCAGATAGCATCCACGTAATACAACACATAAGCTTACATAAAACAATTATGCATAATAGATATGCTTGCATACATTATTTGTGATATGATAGAGTTGGAAAAGAAAGAAAACCACACACGTTGTCACATTCCTTAGATAGAGATGCTGTTGGGAATTCCACTGCAGGTCAAACCTTCCTTACTGGTAGGATGAAGCAGAGTGTAGGGCATCTGAACCGGCCCATTACGGTTTCTGAGCCTTGGATTCTTGTTCCTCTCAGAGATTTTTGCCTCAATCTCCTTCAGCACTTTTCCAAACTTTTTAAAGGCCTCTATTGCCCTTGGATCAGAGGTCCAATTATTGTCCCTCTGTCCAAGGTAAACCTCATCAGAAGCATGCCTCGACAATATCTCTATCACTGAAAGGTCCACAAGGGCCTGATACTTTGCCGTGATTGTTCTCAAATAAGCCTTTTGTGGATGCTTACCACACTCTTCATACTCTTCGCTTCCTACTTCTGGGAGCAACCTTCTGGTTAGTGTTGGACGGTTTAGGATGTAACCTCCATAAGGGTACTGTCCGAAATTCACAGCTGCATGGAGAGCTGAAGCAATCCATATAATGATGGAGCAAGTGTGAATCAGCTCTTGAAGAGTTTGCAACTTAGGCCACCACGGTTTATCTTTTAAGTCACCGTGACCCTTCTCAACAGCTTCCTTCCACCAAGCTTGGAGTTCAGAGTCTTTCTTAACTGCATCATCTGTGACATAGTACACTGAAACATAGTCTTGAACCCATGTTTTGATAGCACTCCATATCTCTAGTCCATCAACTGCATAAGGGTAGTCCTCTATCACAAGCCGAAGGCCATTGGGAGAGGATGGATCCACAACTGCCATTCCTCTAAATCAAGGGTCAAATAAAAACACATGTTACTAACACCTCAAATTGGTGAAAATATTTTGACTTCGTGCATGCCACACCATGCCTGCACACACACATACATACATACGCGCTTACACACATATTTGGTGAACTAGATAGTTCAGAGTTAAACCCTAAACACACACATATATATTTGGTGGATCGGTAGCTCAGTTTTAGAATTAAAGACTAATCTCTCAAGATATTAAAATTCATTGGAGAGCAGTATCAATCAAACTGTACATGAGTTTTGTAATATAAGTATTACCTCTTGATAAGATCCGCAGGAAGGGCTTGATCAGTGAAAACCCAGCTCTTGTAAACTGCTGAAGACATCTCCATTGAGAATTTCCCAGGCAAAAATGATTGCTCAATAGTGCCACCTGCATTGATGAGCTTTTGTCGTGCAAGTGCATTGATATTCATTGTGTCACGATAGTGAGGCAATAGAAGTTTATAAATAGGGTGGAGCACACTGAGATTCCTGTTTGTTGCTATGACAAATGGCTCAATTGTGGCATGAGTATTTAACCTATAACAAACCAAAGAAAGAATCACTTCATAAATTCAAAGAAATAATAATTTGTTTAATTATGGTGATAATGGAAAAATTTATACATACCAGTGGCTTATGAGTTGATGATAGCCCGAGTCATTTACAACAACATAAGCCTTGGCCAGTAGCCAAATTGTGCTTTCAGCACCTTCATTTGCGGGCAAGACGACTCTACTAAGGGCACCAAACTCGTTTCCTCTAGGATGTGGCAAACTTAGTTCAATGGTCAATGGCTTTAGTGTCCCATCATCTTTCAAGAAAAGGATTGTCCTCGTGGCATAAGACTTTGCCGTGGGGAGGCCATTTATCTGACGCATATACAGCATGAATGCATCATGGTGATCTAATATAAACAATCTCTTATCATTCAGTGCCTGTAGCATATATAATATCATTTAGTTGCATGGCTTCATATATATGCCATTTTGTTATGAAATACGTATGACATCGTTTAATTACCTGTTCCACGGTGAGTCCACCAAGGTTGATCTCCAATTGCTCTTTGGTTATTGTACTGGTTTGATCACCAAATTGTGTGGCATCTAGTTTGCTCTTAGGTGGAAACTCCTGCCATTCATTCAATAACATCATGATGAGAAAAGATAACAAACAAACATGGAAAAAATAAATTCATTCTTAGTTACGTCATGTTTAGACATATTTTTTCGTGAACTCCCCTACTTTAAAATCAACTTATACGCTTAATATTTATAAATTCTCTCTCATCTAACTTCTCCAAAAGTTGAAGAGTACAAGTTTATTTTAGTTTGTCGAACAAATTCAATCCATGTTACCTTATTATAAGTACTAATGAAAAATTTTATCGAGTATTATCTTATTAAACATTTAAACACAACTTACTTGAAGGCATTGAATCATGCCAGGATTTACACCAGCAAGCATCTCTCTTCCAAATTCTTCATCAGTCATCCATGCAGACTTACTAACTGCAATGATATGGAAAATAACTGTTAAATGCAACAAACATTCTATGCCAAGTTTACTTAAGATATCTAGAACATTGCACAATACCTCTGATAACTTGAGGCGGTGGAAACTTGAGGAATTGCTCGCCATCCGTGCGAAAAATTTCCTTGACCGCTGGTATGGAGCTAATGTTGCTGATTATGTCTGTAGGGAGACAAAGTCCACCTTCATAGAGTCCACGCACGTCTTCAAATGACTCAAATTCAGCATTTGAACCAAATGCAGATTGAAACCGAGGCAAAACGTTTTGAGTAATGGCTTTGATCCCATATGTAAGGAAGTCTGATGACTTCAAGTGACCAAAATTTTCATCTCTTGGTATGTAATAAGTTTTGCTGGATGGTTTCTCACTATTAGGATCTGTTCAAAATTAGACAAAAGTAAAATTAATATTGTATCATCATCAATAATAACAATCACATGCAATTAATGCCACTTTCAAAAAGAAAATAACATAATGTTTCCAAAAACATATTTAACATGCATCCTCATTTTCCAAGACAGGATCAAATTAGTAATAACTCCACCCACATCATGGCGCGCACAATGTCATTGAAACAAGTTAATTTATTTTTTGGATTTATATCACATGTTTTTTTATTAGAATCAATCATGTATAAATTAGATAAGATCATTATATGATTTATGAATAGTAAAATTTTCTCGTCAAGTGTTTAATTAACACAATTGTCTATATTCAGAATTTGAATTTTAAACTATTGATTAAGTTAGAAAAATCATGTGATATTTGACATGAATTATTTAAATAATATAAAATCCTTACCTTTCGTTGTTGCTTTTCTACCGGTTCTTACTCTACGAGGGTATGGATGCTCACTAGATCCTCCAAGAATAGGACGAACTAGATCACCATTCTCGTCTGGGTTGCCCAAATCGTTATAAACTTCGTAATCATAGATCCTGTCATATTCCTTGCGCTTCCCTTTTCCATCTCCTCTTAGATTTCCCAATTCTTCATTTCTGTACTTGACTAGTGGAGCTGGGGTTTCATCTGGAAGATATGTCTGCAACATATATATTTAATGAAATTCTTCAATTTCACTACATTTTGTGGAAGTTTAGGAAAAATAGTAATTAAATTTCATGTTAGTTACCTTGTTAGCAAAGAAAATGCGATCACTTTTGTAACATTTTTTGGCGTTGTAAATCCATGAGTTGCAAACAAAGTCAATGGTTCCATGGTTTGGAATGTCTTCAAGCTTGACACTCACAAGGAAAAACTCAGATTGCGTGAAGTTCTTAATGTAAAAAGCTCCTGGAATTCCAAAACTCTCATCCCATTCAAAATAAATATTGAATGCATCTTGCCTATCTCCCAAAGTTGGTAACGTAGGAAGATGTTTCTCCAGAAAAGTTTGCTTTCCAAGTTTCCCATTTCCAAGCTCTGAAACAAGTATATACAATTAAACTTAAAAATAGATTGTGAATTAAAAATGACTCATCAGCAAACATTTTTAGAAATGGATACTTACACAAATGTTTACTTTTTTATTATCAAGAAATGAGATATATATGAATGGGAGACCCGTCAAAAATACCTAGTTGGCAAGAGATGCTCAAATTGAAATTAACTTGACATTATTTGTACCCCAGCCAATCCAATATTAATTATTAAATTCACAATGTATGACTTTTTTTTTATTCTATTACTTTTTAGTTTCATTAAAATTGGCTCCTACACTTTTTTTATAAAAAAAAAATAGTATATGAACTACAATTTATATATCCTTCTTAATTTCTCACTTTCTCAAAATATATTTGTATCACTTAACTTACATTTTTCTTTAGATCACTACAATTCTCTAAAAATTGTAATTAGTTAAACTATTATTAATAAGTCTAAAAATTACAGTTAAAAAAAATAAAACGCTTCTATGTCATGTAAAGAGGGTTTCTTTTTTTCAACATGTCATATAAAGAGTTAAGTGATACAGTAAACAATATAAGAAATTAAATGACACGTGCAAAGAAAGTAGAGTGAGATAGTTTTTTTATTTTTATTTAATGGTAGCAGAGTGAGATAGTTTAAATATGTAAATTATAATAAGGATAAAATATAATCTACACAACTATAATAATTACATGGACAACTTCTTTATATAGAGAAACAAAGAAGTGCATGAAACATATATACGTATGTATGTAGATTTTTTTTTGTTTTTTGACAGAATAAAGTACATATGTAGAAAGTTAAGGAACGTGCATGATCTTTAGCTTAGCTTTGATCTTTAGTCCCCTTTTTCTGTTGATTTTCCTTTTTATCAGTCAGAAAACAAAAGAAAAATAGAGAGCCACTACTTTGTCCAGAAGTTAATAGCGCGTAAAATCATTAGCTTTAGTCTTCTCTCATATTCATCCAAAAAATAATAAATATAAAAAATTTTAAAAAAAAACACAAGTGTACTCTCGCTTTGTTTAAGTTCAGAGTTATTTAATGTAATAATCAAAATAAAGAGTAATGATATTCACTATTTGAGAAAAGTCATCGTATCAAATTTAATTAATTAGGCCCATAAAAGTCATGGATACAAATTTAAAACATAATATAAACTCCAATAATGTAATTTTGTGTGTATTTAAGATGTGTCAAACAAGAAGGGGACAATCGTACAAGGACATGTTATAATGGAGTAGCTGTTAATATGAGTCCGGGCGGGCTCGGCTCACTAGAGATTAGGACAACCATTCTATACTTATATAGTTAGATTTCTTTACCAGTCAGAAAAATATCTATCTCAATCAAGTTGATTCATTTAAGTTAAAAAAAATGGTAAAAGTATAAAAACAATAATAATAACATGCCAGAAAGTATTCACTCCAACTCTTACAAGTAGTAAGTTAGAACACTTGTTTTATATATAGGAGCAACATTTGTAATACTTGTTTCTTTTCCTATTTCATAAGAATTGTTATGTGTTATTTAGACTTTTCTTAACACAATTTTCTTTTAACATGCACTCAATTTACACGAACAATATATAGTATAGTTCCTATTATTCATTTAATAATTATTTATTATTCAATAATATGTAATTCAATAATATCTACATGAATTTCAGCCAAAGGAAAATATAAAATACTTTATCCATCTCACAATAAATATAATTTAAGGTTATATTTTTATATGCAGATTAAGAACAACAATAAATGTATTACTTTTTATATAATTTTATTAAAATAATTCATTCTTACCATAAATGCATTATTTTTAATGGTAGAGGTTAAATTATTTATATTAGAAAAAAATAGGTAATATTATATTGAAAAGTAAAAAAAAAATCATTTTAAGATATTTTCTAAATGTTAAGATTTTTGTCATTATGGAATGAAAGAAATATTAAGTGAATTGGTAAGTTTTCTCTCTATATGTGAGTTAGGGACTCTCAATATACAAAAATTTAGTTAAAGAATCGACATTCCTTAATAAATGCACTTCTATACAAAGAATGTGATTTTATATATACATACAAACTTAAAATCAAACTTCTAATCATATAGTTAGAAAGCATAATTATTTACTAATTATATTACAACATGTTGATGATTAACATTAACATTTCATATAAATATTTTATTTATAAAATTGTTTATTAATAATATATATACATACATATATCATATATATTGTCAATATAAGCTTAGTTAATATAAATCTACAGTAACAATTTATCACTTTATTAAAAAATATGCAAATGAAAACCAATTCAATACTTATAAGTATTTATCAAATGACAAATTTTGTTAATAATGCATATTAGTTATATTGCTGTGAAAATCCAAATCTTAAAAGAAAATATGTTTAGCAGAAAAAGAATGAAGAAACAAACCATCAGCTTTGGTAGCACTGATGAGCTGTAGGGAAATGTTACGGCTGACGA